CCCAGAATGAGGGCTCAAGTTTGGTACTTACTTCATTCTTTCTATAGTTAACTGCTTATAGAACTGTTACTTCTAGGAGAGAAAGGACTTTCTCTTTTCTACTTTTTGTCTTCTTTGAATATCTGACTCATACTAAATACAAATAAATAAATAAATAAATAAATAAATAAATAAATAAATAAATAAATATCTAGTGGTAGGCTTGGAGGCAGAGTGGTAACAGAGTTACCCAAGCAATGCTGAATCCACATGTGGAGGATTGCGGGTTTGGTTCCTCAGTTGACTTGTACATGCTTGGTGTGATGCTGGCTGGCTGAGAAGGCTGGAGGTGATCACAGCAGGACATACTGTTGAAGGTACTTGTCTTTCCCTCCCTCTCTGTCTCTGTCTCTCACTCTTATGACAGAAAGACATAAATGTGAGAAAAAAAATCTATTAGTGTATTACCCTCATGACCAGGAGTCTGCAATTTACTTGGTTGACAATTGAGAGGTAAGTAAGTGAAGTACAATACAAAGAAAAGTCTTGGAGATAGACCCTTGTGGATCTGGGAGTATTACTGAAGGATACACTTCTAGCAATAGGCTTGATATGCAATGTTTGGATTGCCATAGAGACTGTCAAATTGTCCAAAAGGAGGTTGAAAAGTATGTATTTACATTGATGGTCAATGGCTGCACACATTTCTCCTTATCACTGACTAACACTAGTTATTACAGAAATGTAAACTTTTCAGTACTTGTTTTATTTCATTTCTTAATCACTAATAAGGCTGGGTAGGTTACATGTCATCTGGACAATTTTTTAGTGTTTTCTCTTATTCTTTGCTCATTTTTTTCCCTAAAAAGGTGTTTTTTTTCTTTTCCTTATTAATATGTATAAAATCTGTGTATTACAACCACTAACCTATTGACTACTATAAATTTTGAAAATAATTTCTCCAAGTCTTGTGCTTATATTCAGACTTTCTTCATGGTACCATTTTTTATTTAGAAGTTTAAATTCTTATATAACTGTACCTGTCAATTTTTTTTTTTGATGACTTCTGGGTTTTATGTTAAGCTCAGAAAGATCAAAATGTCCTCCTGTAGCTTTTAGTGTTTTGATTTTTTTAAAGAATTATTTTGTTTAAATGTATTTATTTATTTTAATTTCATAAGAGAGGGACAGTGAGAGAGCAAGAGAGCGAGAGAACACATGTGGGAGAGAAGTGAGAAAGCAAGATGCCAAGTCTAGGCTTTGAACTGTAGTCTTATCATGTGGGAACCCAGCACCCTTAACCATCAAGCCACCCACCAGCCTCTCTTTTAGTGTTTTCATAAGTTTAACTTTTGTGTTTAGATCATTGCATTTACTTTTGTATGATGTGATGTGAGGGTCTTATATGCCATAACGTATATGAAATTGCATTCATTTATATTCACAAATGAGCTTGCACTATACTTTCTGCTTTGTAAAATTTGGAAAGGACATGCATCTAGTTGTTAATAGTAGTTATCTCCAAAAACTGAAATTCAAAGCAAGGATATTTTATTTTGAATACTTCTATAGAACTGTTATTACACTTACAACTTGACAAAATGAAAGATTTTGATAGCTGTTGAGGAAAGGTGTAATTATCAGACCTAGGCTTCAGGAAGATAATTCTGATGAGATTAAATGGTTGGAGTGGGAAGAAAAGGCATGAGAAGGGTTAGAGCCAGACAATGGAAAACTGAAAGAAAAGGCTACTTTGGGGAAGGCCTAGGATGGAAGTTAGAAGAGTATAAAGGAAGCAACAAATAATATACAAAAAAAAATGTTATCTTGCTGCAAATTTTCATAACTCTTTTTTTTTTTTGGAAAGGTTTTCGATATAGGGTGTATGCGCTCACCAGACAGACACAGAGAGACAGAGAGACAGAAAGTGAGAAATCACCCCCCAGGGGGGATGGTCACATCGCAATCCCTTCTCCTCCATTCTCCTCTTGGAAGCTTGGGCATGCACGCACATGTGCCCCGCGTGAGTTTTAAGCTACCGGGTCTGGGACGCGAACCGCTGTCGACTACGTGGGAGTCCAGCGACATAGCCATTACGCTAACTGCTGGTTCCCAAATTTTCATAACTCTTAGAAAATATGATGCTGCCAACATTTTCAGTCATTAATACTTTGGTGTATTTTTCATAAGAGGCCCTAGAAGAGAGAACTTAGGAATGAATCACCTAAACCTGTAGTATATTCATTTACGATACTTACATTTGATCTACTTTTTCTTCTCTCCTTCAATAACTATCCAAGTGCACTAACTGCCCTAACAAAATATCTGTGTCATTTATTACTAAAATTTGTTTCAATCATAATAACTTACATCACCTTCCATTTTTTTTCTATAGTAAAATGTGACTCATGATAAAATACATTTTGTAAGTTCTCTGCTCCTTTTGGGGAAACTACTGAATTTCCTCAGTATGCTGTCTCTTTCTAAAGACTATGATCCTCCAGAGAAGGGATCAAGTCTGGTTCGAACATCAGTCTTTAGTCTCAGTAGAATAGTATATACATGGGGTCTTCAAAACATCTGTGGAAAATATATATTCTCTTTTTTTTTTTTTTTTTGAGAGGTTTTTCACTACAGGGCGCATGCGCTTGCCAGAAAGACAGAGAGACAGAGAGACAGAAAGCAAGAAATAACCTCCCAGGGGGATGGCCACGCCGCAATCCCTTCTCCTCCATTCTCCTCTCGGGATCTTGGGCACACACGCACATGTGCCCGGCATGAGTTTAAGCCACTGGGTTTGGGACTCGAACCGCGGTTGAGTACATGGGAGTCCAGCGACATAGCCATTACACCAACTGCTGGTCCCTGGAAAATATATATTCTGAAAAAACTATGCATGAATTTCAAAATTATTTTGTGCCAGAATAAAGTTGCACTTTAATGCCACTTTCCACAAACTTTTTGAAGTCCCCTCTATACTATAAATGCTACCACATGCTTGGTGAATTATAAATTATAACATGCAGGTATGTTTCAACCAAAGAAGACCTCCTTCCTGAGTCTCCACCAAAGGCCCTAAAGAACTGGGGAACTCCCTTCCTATCTCCTCCTAGAAAACATGGTGGCCAGAAAATTCATACTTAGTAATTTTGGGTTGTTGTAAAAGTCATGATGTATTTTTTCTGTTTTTCTATTCAAAAAGTCATCGTGACTTTTCTGACAACCCAGTAGTTCTGGTTCACACATTGGACTTTTCTCCTTTTGGTACCTAGAAAAATGAACTGACCTGCTCAACTTGTAAAATACTTTTTAAGACCCTGATTTATGGCAAATTCATGCTTCCCCATCATACTAGCACTTAGATCATTGTTTGACTGCGCTATCCTGGCTGCTGAATCCGACAGATGAATGGTTTATTTCTTTGAATTATTGTTTCTATGGCAAAGTTACTTATCACACAAAAATGCACATCCAATGGCATTGAAAGAGGGAATCTGGCTCTTATTTTCTGTCTACCTAGATAGCAACATGTGGCTTTCAAGAAAAGTAAACTTATTTCTTGGAAATTAAAGTTGAATACAAAGACTATGCCTTTTCTAGAAAAAAAAATGTCATTATTCTTAGGTAAGAATTCCTAATCCTGAGACTTAAAGAAAGTCATGGGTCAAAAATATTAACAGAAGATTTTGATCCCTGGGGAAAAAAAATAAATAAATTGCTTGATTCAATTATAAAGCTTAGTTCTATACAGACTGAGCTACAAATTTTATAACACTCAATTCTATTACAATAAAGCAGCTGATGAAAAGCATCAATAACAGTCCAAAAATCAACTTTTTTCCTTTTTATCTTTCTTCATTTTGCTTTCAATTAAATTTCTTTTTTGGTATTTCAATACCAATTTTCAAAAGGTATAAGGAAACATAAATGTGAGGCTAGTAGGGTCAGAGAAGGGGGTTTACCAGTGATTACTGTCTGACAGCTAATCTGCACAGGCTTTTGTCAGTAGTTCTGAAAGGTATTCAAGCAAAGGCTCCATATGAGGATCTGCCACGATTTTTAGAAACCTTACAACATATAATTTTGTTGAATTTGCATTCAAATAAATGCTAGCTTAAAAAAATGCACCTGCTTGTTTCTATGACAATAGGCATAGTGAAGTGATGCTCACACAGATGTGGTGATGAATGTCACCCTGCGATTGCTGTTACATTTTTCCTTGAACAATTCATCAAATTCTTCTCTGCTATCTATCATTCAACTATTTGATATGCCTCAGTAGACAAAACTATGTCACAGAAGTCGAAAGGATGTTTTGTAATACTAAGAAATCAAAAGACATTATTCTATTGTTACCCTGAGACAATTTTTATTGACTTTGCTAATTGGATAATCAGCATTCTTCTACAATTCAGGAGTAAGATATTTCTTAGCAAAGTAAGAATAGGATTGTATGGTTGCCTCCTAATAAATGCTTATTTTAAAAATGCTCATTGATTGGGACCAGCAGTTAGTGTAATGGCTATGTCGCTGGACTCCCATGTAGTCGACTGTGGTTCCAGTCCTGGACCCGGTGGCTTAAAACTCATGCCAGGTGCGTGTGCATGCCCAAGATCCTGAGAGGAGAATGGAGTTGAAGGGATTGTGGCGTGGCCATCCCCCCTGGGGGGTGATTTCCTGCTTTTTGTCTCTCTGTCTCTCTCTGTCTGTTTGGCGAGCGCACACGGTAGCTAAAACCTCTCAAAAAAAAAATGCTCATTGATTTTAATAAAAGCTCTTTAAAAAATGTTTTGCTGTGTCTTAACATGCAACAACATACTATCTGGAAACATCCTGCTCATTGTAAATATATACATTAAAATTATTTTCTAAAATTTTTGCTTCTATGAGATAAACATAGCTATTGTAAGCATTAAACTTCTTAAATAGCAGTATGCCATTATGTATTTTTAAATACTAGGTAGCCTAGATGATCATTAGAAATTATAATGAAAAGTTAAATTGCTAGCAAATGTATATACCTCATATAAAGTGATGACACCATATGTTTGAGTTGGTTCCCTCCACTGAAGAAATATCTTCTCTTCAAAGGTACTTCCTTGGATGGACTCAGTAGGAACAGCACCTGGGACTAAATGAAGGTGGGGAGAGATAAATGAGTAATAAACAAACAAATAAAGCAGAAGTTTCTAGTTTAGGTAGGTTTTAACTCTTTATCTATGCACAAGATTTTAATAATTGTTGAGAGATACTTTGAATTTTCTTTTTAAAAATCTAAACTCCAAAACTTTAACTATCTGAAATCTAACACCATTTTAGCTACATCACCCTTGCAGAAAAAAATAAATTTCAACATCTTTTTCCTTAAAGTTTGAATCAAGTAGACAGAGCTCGGTAATTATCTTATAAGTGAACATCTTCATTTTTCCAATAGAAATGAAGATATGGAGCAATGAGAATTCTCATATACTGTGAGAATACAGCCACTGTGGAAAGGACACATAGACTGTAAGACTCAATAATCCTACCTCCAGATATAGTCCCTACTAAAATTATTGTACATATATATCAGAAAACTTACACAAGAAATTTTTTGAGAGAGAGATTTTTGCTATAGGGCATGTGTGGTTGCTGGTGAGACAGTAAGAAAGAAAGCAAGAAATCACCCCAGTATGGCCACACCACAATCCCTTCTTCTCTAGTCTCCTCTCAGGCTTTTGGGCACACATGCACACATGCCCAGCATGAGTTTTAAGCCAATGGGTCTCGGACTCCAACCACAGTCGACTACATGCGAGTCCAGTGACATAACATTACAGCATCTGCTGGTCCTACACAAGAATGTGAAAATAGTAGTGTAATAAACTAGAAACAAATCAAATCATTTAATAAATTGCATCATATTCATGTGATAAAATACTGAAAAGATTGAAAATAAATCACATATATACACATCATCATGAATACATTTTATAAGAATAATCTTAGGTGTCAAACATGTTAAAGAATACATTGGGTCATCAGGAAAGTCATAATAGATTTTTGCATAGAAATACATAGAAAAATATGTCATGACTTTCCTGACGACCTAATATATTAACTACATACTAACATGATGGGACTTCAGAAAGTTCATGAGAAAATAAAATTAAAGTATGAGTTTTAGTGTAAAAAATCTGTATTATCCATGTGTAATTTTTTGTAATATACTTTTTCCCATAAACTTTTTGAAGATGCCACCTGAAATATCTATTAAAAAATATACATTAAAAATCGCTTCTTGACCTTTTAGCTAAGATCAAGTGTAAAAATATACATTAAACAGAACTTGATATAGATTAAATGGCATGTAGTTTTAAAAATTATTTTACTTAGTAAATAGGAGATTTGAGAAAGTCTGATGCTATTTTTTCTAAACTTAAATACCTTCTTATAAGTTTGAAAGAAAATCTAGTTGACATAGAAAGATGGAGATTTACCTGCTAATATTCTACCAAATACTTAATATTACCTTAAATTTTTTTGTATAATCATTTAAAATTCAGATTTGAGTGAGCTTTATATTATATATAACTTAATGTGCTACTTTGTCAATCCTACTTATAAACTAGTATAAGTATACTACTGTAATTATATCATTTATAAAAATATATACATTTGTGGGTATATAATCAAATTGGTGATGGTCAGCTATTTTGAGTGATAAAAAGTGGTTTCAGAGGACTCAAACGTCCCAATTTTAAAACTTACTACAAAGCTACAGTAACCAAGCAAGTATGGCATTTGCTTAAGGACATATAGATTGATGGAACAGAACTGAGGATTCAAAAAAATAAACCCTTACATTTACAGACAATTAATTTTCAATAAGGGTGATAGGAAAAATCAGTGTGGAGAAAATAATCTTTTTAACAAATGATGCTGGCACAATGGATATGCAAAAGAATCAGGTTGGATCTTTCTCTCACACCACATGTACAATTAAATTGTAGTAGAAGCTGGCCCCACAGTGCAGTAGTTAACTGCTACACAGAGGCAGCAGAATCTCACATGGCTAACACTGGTTTGAGTCTCAACCATAGTAGTTTGAAAAATATTCAAGGTATGCATACATGCCCCACGTCCTAATAGGACAGAAAATTGGAGAAAAAGGATTATGGTACAACTAGGTCCTGTTGGGGATGTTTTCTGCACAGACACACCTACCATTTAAAAAAAAATAAATTGAAGTAGATTAAAGACCTAAATGTAAGAATGAAAACTATAAAACTCTTAGAAGAAAGTATATGTGTAACTCTAATGACTAGATTAGGCAATGGTTTTTCAGACACGATACCAGAAGCACAAGCAACCAGAAAGTACAAATGAGCTGTACATCACCAAAATGTGGGGATTTTGTACTTCAAATGCTATTATGTAAAAAGTGAAAGCAGGCTAACTGGTGGCATATGGTTAATTCAGGTGGATCCCACATGGTTCAAGGCCCAGACCTGGCAGTTTGAAAAACAAATCTGGCATATTGTATGGGTACCCAAAATCCTGAAATGAAGGAGAAATAGAGAAGTAAGGATTGTGGCACAACCATTCCCACTGGGGGGTGTTTTCTTACTCCCTTCCCCCCAAGAATGAACTTGACCTCTGGCAAATTAAAGAGAAAAAAAAAGTCCCGGCCTTGGTGGCACAGTTGGTAGCACACTGAAATGTAGTGCTGCAAGCTACATGGGCAACTTTGGATTAGCATTCCAACCTGGAAACACACTGGGTGCCCAGGCACCCAAGATCCTGACAAGCTGGAAGGCTGTGGAGGGGAATCAGAAAATGACTGGAACCCTACTGAGCATGCCAGCTGCCCCCACTTTCTGAGCTCATGAATAAGCTCTCTCTAATGAATAAAAAAAGTATTTTTTTAAGTGTAAAGACAATAGAATGGGAGAAAGTTTTTGTAAATCATATATCTGGCAGGATATATAAAACTAAAACACAAAACCTATTTTTTTAAAGAATCATTTCATTTACCTTTATTTATTTATTTATTTAAATTTAGAGGGTGTGAGAGAGAGACAGGATCTCTCTGGAGATCTCTCTATTTATTTGAATTTAGAGGGAGAAAGAGAGACAGGAGAGAGAGGAAGTGAGAAAGCAAGCCAGGTCCAGGATTTGAACCACTGTTGGCTGTATAGGAGTCCAGCTCCCTTAACTACCATGCCACCTGCTGGCCCCAAATACAAAAGCTATTAAAGGCCAATCATAAAGAAGAAATTAAAAATAGGGAAAGGATCGGAATAAACAGTTGTCGAAAATATATAAAAATGGCCAATATACACATGAAAATTTACTCAACATCATTAGCCAGCAGAAACTACAAATTAAAACCACAATGATATCACCTCATATTCACTAGTATTGCTCAAATAAAATGATAAATAATAACAAATACTGATGAGAATGTAGATAAATAAGAACCCTCATAAACCACAAGAGGAAATGTAAAATCATATAGTACTTGGAAAATAGTCTGGTAGTTTCACGAATGACTAAACATAGCTATCACCCAGAAATTCTACTTCAAAATATTTACCTAAGAAAACTGAAAACATATATCAATTCAAAAACTTGTACACAAATATTCATAACATCATTCTTCTTCTTTTTTTTTTTTTAATTTTTGAGAGGTTTCTGCTACAGGGCGCATGCGCTCACCAGAAAGACAGACGGAGACATACAGACAGAAAGTAAGAAATCACCACCCAGAGGGTATGGCCACGCCACACTCCCTTCTCCTCCATTCTCCTCTCAGAATCTTGGGCATGCATGCATGCACACCCTGTGTGAGTTTAAGCCACTGGGTCTGGGACTTGAACCACAGTCGACTACATGGGAGTCCAGTGACATAGCCATTACACCAACTGCTGATCCCAACAGCATCGTTATTCATATAGACAAAAAATGGGAAACACTCAAATATTAATTGATAAATTGATACATGTAACTTAGTAAAGAGGGAAATTGGAAGATATACACATAATTAATGGTTGGCAATATTGGCACAGGTTAGAAAGACTGCCTAAGAGTTTCAAAAGAACCCATAGATAAGATGCATTTTTTAGTTGAGGGGCTATTTATAGGTAAATGTAGGTCATATACAGTTATTCTAAATAGAGCTAATTATTTAGTCAGAAAAAAAAAATACTGATTTAGATGAGAGGTCTGTGTTCTGATTTAGATTCTCCAATACTTAACGTAACAATTTGGACAAATCATTGAAACTCCTTAGGTCTCAGTTGCCTTATCTCTAAAATAAATAAGTTGAATTAAGTCTATTTCTCATGCCCAAACCCTATATAGTATATAAATAAGAAAATAATTGTTAGTCCTAGTCTGAAGAAATCTAAGTGAGATTGCAGCAAAGCAGAGAAAGGCAAGGCATTTAAGAAGTTATACAATCATAAAGTCTAAGAAAATTTGAATTATAGGTTGTGAGATTAAAATGTTTATCATGATGAAAAGCTGAATTACAACAGGCCATACCTGAGAAAACTGTACTAGGCCATCCTCTTTGCCTTGAAACTGTTTATTATGACACCATCATCAGTTTTATCACATTATCAAGATAACTATGATGACTGTCTCTGTATTTTGTGATGATATTTTTATTTGAAATGATCTATTAATCTATGTCTCTGTAACCTAGTGGTAGAGCTCTCATTGCTGACTGCAGTTTCTGTCTCAGCCCTGGTGGATTCAAAAACACAGCAAGAATGTATGTGTGGATGGATGCCCTGAATCCTGACAGGATGCAGAAATGGAGGAGAAGGGATTATAGGATGACCACGCCCCATTTTGGTGTGTCGGGAGTGCTTTCTCCCTCTTTCTTTCCCGCTTTTCGTGTCTCTCTAACAAGTTTATATGCTTTCTAGCAATTAAAAAAAAAAGTAGAAGTTGTTGGATCCAGTTGTAGTGGTACAAGCAGTAGGGGTGTTGCTGGGTGACGCTGGAGACCAGTTACAAAGGCTCCATGTGATCCAGGCTAGCTGCATGGCAGGGGGAAGGATGGTAGAGTAAGTACTCTGTAGGAGGTGTACCCCTACTAAATATTTTTAAAAGTTTATTTGTTATTATAATTATTAAAAT